AGAATTCCAACTGTTGTACAGAAGAAATAACAGAATTTTAAAAATCACCATTTCAACTCCTACCAAAATCCTGATCTACTTAACAATCCTTAATGGCCAAAAGCAATAGGTAAAAGGGTTGCTGTCCATTCCTCCCGCGGCCCCTGGCACTGGGGACTGAGCCCAGGGCTTTCTCAGTGGGCTACGTCCTCTGTCCTTTTTACTTTAAGAGACAGGGTCTTACTAGGTTGCTGGTGAAGGCCTTGAATTTGTGATTCTCCTGCCTCAGACTCCCTAAGTGCTGGGATTATTATGGATGAACCAGGATGACATTTGAACCCACAATCAATTTTAGTATCACAAAGGGAAAATGTAACTGCCACTAGTAAGACAAAAAGGAAGCTACCAATTTTGAAGTAAATTCGTACTACAGAAAAATGAGACTACTTCTGAATCACAAGGAAAAAATGTTTTTCCATAATTTCAATTAGTCCCAGAAAAGAATAAATGGCTTTCATCAATAATCTTCAAAATTGCTTCTGTTTGCAGGAATTAACAGGATAAATATGTTCCAATAATACAAAGTAAAACATTCACAAGCTAATTACAGGGTTTTCCAAAGACAAGTAGAAGTATTCTTTCATCTCCACCAAGCTTTCACTAGACATGCCTTCACAGAACTTAATCTGTAAGATATCTATGAAATCCGTATTTGTAAGCTGAAGATTTCTAGTTTCTAAACTTTAACTGTCTACAGAGATTAAAATGAATCTGGGTCACATACAGTGGCATATACCTATAATTTCAGCTACTTAGGAGGCTGCCGCAGGAAGATCACAAGTTCAAAATGAGCCTGGGCAACTCAGTGAGGCCTGTTTCATAACAAAAATTTTAAAAGGAGGCGGGGGTTGGTCAGGGATGTAGCTCAGTGGTAAGAGTACTTGCCTAGCATGCATAGCATGCCTGGGTTGATCCTCAGTACCAAAAGAAAAAAAAATTTGAAACTTGAAGTTCCAAAAGGTTCATGGTGATAAACACTAACATTATAATCAGGATGTTGATAGAGTTGTAAGTATTAAACAGAGCCATTAATTTTTCTCTTCCTCTGCGAAAAGGATAATCTAAAGATTCTCAACCTTTCCTTAAAAATTGATTCCTGTTAACTCAATATTTACAGGAATATCAATCCAGTATTTTTTAATAAAGCCTGACATTTTTCAGTTTAATTTTTGTTAGCTGATTTCTTTAGTGATCTTCAAAACATTTTAAATATTTTTTTTAATTGCTACTTAAAGTTTCATAGAACTAAATTATGTGCAAAACAAAGAAATTCAATCTGCTTAAGACTTCCTGTTAACAGCAGGATTCCTTCCTTTGGCACACACAGTAACTGACTGGCACGATGGCCAAGAATGTTAAGGTCAAGTTTCATAGCTAAATGTAGAACTCCCTCGGCCCTAAGATGCTTTATGATAGTATACAAAAAGCTACTACACAACTTCAACTTGTTTTTGTGCTTCTGCTAAATAAGATAAATTTAACCATTTGAGAAAAAGTGTTTCCTGAAAATCTAAGAAACAAGTAATTAGCAGGAGTTATTACTGTCATTAAGTCATAACAAATTTTTCCATATTTTTGGTACTTACATTAGTAACAAAAATTTAGTGCAGTATTTGTGAATACAGACCCGTCTAAATAGCTCATCCCTACCTTCCTACACCTACTTTCTCCTTCCCATTCATTTAAATTCCTGTAAATCTTAAAAATATAAGTTTTAAATCTTTTCTGAATTCAGGAAACTCTGCTATTGTCTTATATTCAGATCTTTCCCTTCTGGAAAAGACAATTACAAGGCTTTTCTGTTTGGTTACTAAGCTGATTGTTAATCTTTCCCTGCAATTTAAAAAATTCCTTCAAAGCAGCACTATTTTCTTTTAGAAAGTAAGCCATTAAACTGTACTGCCCTGACATAAATTAACCATAATAAATGAAGTTTCTCAAGCAATGTATCACTCACTGCTGTAATAAATACATGTTTTTCTAAAAAAAAAAAAACTGGAGGTAGAGATATTTTATTACAAAAAACAATTTCAAGTATCTGCAGCCTTCTGTAAGCCTGGTATAATCTGTTGTGAAAGGGCTTGGAGTAAGCAAAAGAACACAGAAGCCTACTGTCATCAAAAGCAGGTTTTAGCTACCCCACAAAAACAAATCATATTTTCAAAAATGGTATCTTTTAACTTCAAAAAATTCTCAATTAACTTGTACTTTATTTTTAAGCTGTGACTGGAAAGCTGGTTTAAGTATGTCTTTAAACTATAAAAACCATGTCAAGATTGCTCCTAAGTCAGTGGAAACTATTTTGCAAATCAGAATTTTAAAATAAGCCATTAATTTGGTATTACTAATTCTCCAGACATACTGAAAGCTCACACAGAAAAGTACCACACTGGGTATCCCTTCTCCACAATGCTTGGGACCAGAGTGTTTTGCATTTGAATATTTTGGATTTCAGAATATTTGTAAATACAAGCGATATCTGGGGGAGTCGATACATGAAAATCATATGTTTTATCTGGACCTTATACACAGTCTAAAGTGCCATATTTTTAGTGTACCTCTCTATAGACTATGATCTGCCACAGGAGGTCATATGTGGAATTTTGCATTCACAGCATCATATCAGGGCTCAAAACGTTTCAATTTTACAGCATTTCAAATTTCTTATTTTATAATATGCTCAATCTGTACGACTACACAGTGATGTTTGCAATAGAGATGGGAAAGGTGAGCACAAAGAACAACAAATAATCTGCAACAAATGAGGCTACTATTCCTATTCTCCCTTCACCTAACTAAAACTGTCTCAAGTCTCTAGATCTGGAACCTCAGGATTCATTCATTCTCTTAGCCATTTACTTCTGGGGCATCCCTGTGTTAGGGGCTATGCTAATCCCACTGGACTCTCCTTTCCTCTGTTCTCGCACTTCTCCCCTTTCCAAACATGAAAAGCAGGTCCTCATTAATTCGTTTAAAATACTAACCACTGGACATGCACCAAAGTAGAAAACTGTGGAGTTATTACTCATAAAAAGTGTGTAACATAAAGAAATTCATTCAAGTCAAAGCCAAGGACATGAAAACTGTACAGGACATAATCGTAACAACATAAAAGAATTTAGCATGAAAAAAGATAAAGAAAATAATTGTAACAAAGAATTGCTGGTAGATGGGTACTTTACATTTCTGCATTTTAAAATTTCCTCTAGTAAAGTTATTAGTCTAAAAGAAAATGAGCATTTTTTTTTTATATATTCACTTTTGAATTTGGGTAAAAATTATTTCCGAGGATGAGAACTACGTAATATTTTTTAAAAAAACCTCCAATTCTCAGTATGCAACTGTGTTAATCTAGTTCTTTAAAACCAAAAAGGTACTCATACATGCTCATTTCTACATGCCTAGAGAACTGTTCCTCTTCAATATCCTGATGAGATTACAGCTTTCACAAAATAAGCTGCACTTACTTTACATAACATTCACACTATTCCTCAGTTTTCAAAATTTAGTGATTTACTTTTCCCCAAACCTATAATCTTCATTTTTCCTTGAAAAGATATCCGAGATCTCTTTTCCTCTCCATTATCACTGGTAGCTATAATCAATCACCTTTCCTCTAGGGATCTATCCCAAACAATGCTATAAACTAATCTCTACACACTATTTTAACAAAACCATTTCTCTTTGTGAAATATATAGTGGCTTCTGCTTGACTCAAATCTGCTTGCAGTTGGAAAACAAATCCGTACTTTATCTTTTATCTTATTTCCTAAAAAGAGGCAGTACTGTCCACTTCCTGAAATTCAAACCCTGCCTATCTATTCTGTTTTCCCTGGGCTATTCTCAATTTCCCACGTAAATTGATTTCTTCTGCTCTGTTACAAGAAGCCCAGTTCAAGTCTCACCTCCTCCATAAATCAGTCTTTTAAGTATTCTAGTCCACACTGACCTCTATTCTGACTCCTTGTCACTCTCACAGCTGAGACCACGAAGTATAACAATTAATTATTCTATAGTTAGTATCTATATAATTTGATTTTGTTTCCCCATACACAGTATCCCAAGAGGGTTGAGGAAATTGCTGGACATCTAAATGACTAAAACAAAATGAATACAGTTTTCCCTACAGTCAAAACTCTCACGCTCCAAACTGTTAAGTCATCTTATTTGAAGTTACATGGGCTAAAATGTAAGTCTTCATCTTGCCAAATTTCAAGCCTACGACTTACTAGGAAGGAAAGAAAACCACATGACGAAGTTTAATTTTCAAGTTGTGTTCCTTTATCTAGCATAACCCAGCATTTTAGGAAAAAGTAATAAAAGTGAAACATTTCTCCAAATTTCTTCTGTTTCTTATAGATGTAGCCCCAAAGTAAGGTACAAGTAAAGCAGATTTTTTTCCTTAATTACATAATTACTATTTTTTGCCTGTTACAAAAAGAATCAAAAGACATATTCAACACATAAATGACCATTTGAAGTCTTTTTGACCAAACTGAGAAATTACTGAGCCACGAATGATTATGTTCAGAGAAAAAGTGCAAGATCTTACTAAGTAATGTAGCTGCCCATGGTATCACTTAGCATAGCCAATTTTTCCAATCTTTTCTCAGATTTAGGTCCAGTACCTCTCAAGACTAACTCTCTCATTTCACCAAACCTACATCTAAATTTAACCCAAATGAAGACATCAGATTCTCCATGTTCTCAAGGCTCAGTTTTAACAGTGTAGATAATCTTGAGATAAGTAACAAGTTTATAGAACAGGAATTAATAAATGGACTTAAGAATTCTGTCACTCATTGTAGGTTAACAGCTACTGCAAGCAGACTTAAGCCACACTGGCACAACAGACAATAAAAAAAAAAAATTAAGGGTTATCTGTTGGCTTCCCAGAAAAATCTAAAAATGAACACTGTCTTAATTGCAATGCTAATGTACTATCTACAATGTTAAGATACCTGAGGCATGCCTCCCCTGATTCTGTGGCATTCTTTGGAAGAGATCATGGTTGTAGTCATAATATCTGTAATCTTCATGCACACGATCTCCAAGTGCCCGCCTTCTCTGACCATCAAAAAAATTATCTGAATAATAATATCGGGAACCAGAGTCTCCATTTTCAACAGCAAAACTAACTTCTGTCAAAAACGACTGAGAGGAGCCATACTCCCGAGGGACATCTGCCAGACTCCTGGCAAGGTAAGAAGGTGCAGATAATCTGTTGCTTTCTCGTCTCATTATCTCATGAGATGTTCTTTGAACTGGAGTTCTGAGGAAGCTCTGGTTTCTTGAAACTACTCCATCTCCAGAAGCTGAAAAAGCAGCCGAGCTTGAATCTGGAAGACAGATATCAGTTCGTCTTGGAATTGTTGGACCGTGCCGGATAAATGAAGGCATGAGATCTATAATAAAATAGGAAATAAAATCACCACTTTGATAAAAAAAAAAAATACATAGTTTTCTAAGGATTTTCATTTATGTCTACCACCCTTAAATCAAAATACTAATTGACTTAACAAAATTTTAAACTTTGATTTAAGATGGTATTTTAAACTGAGGAAGATTATTTTCCCACTCAAATAGGAAAATAATTTGCATGGATGTGCTACGTACAAACTCTGCCAGAATCAAATGTATTCTGTGTACTACCATAGATAATATGATGAAATAGCTTAACTATGAAGTATGTATCAATGAAATACTCATGAATTAATGTGTAAGAATGGAAAATCATTAAATAATTACCAGCATAACTTACGACTAGTTTTGTTGTTTCTGCTTCTTTTAGAAATTGTCAAATATCCTTAGAGGGAAAAAAATTTATACAAATCTACTTCCAAACACACACAGATTTCCTTTAAAACACTTTAAAATCAGTAACTTTCTATGAATTATCTAGTACTAATAACCAAAGACTGCAAAACAAAAGCTTAGGTATGAAAATTAAAAGATCTAATTTCAAAGAGGCACACAACTGTTAAATCAGATCAAAAATGCCAAGCCTAAAACTATGGCTCCTTTAAGATTATAATTCAAAACAGAAGACAGTAGTAGAACAATGGCCTTCAGGATATAGTACTACTGGATATAGCACTACTGAACATAGAATGTAAAATAGCTAAGACATTCTTGGTGAGAAAACAAATGTCTCTAAAAAACGAAGAAAACTACATATAGTGTCCGTTTTATTCATTAAGCAAACACTATTAAGGGCATTCGTATTAATAAGCTTCAGAAGCTAAACTAAGTATCAAAATAAATAAAGCTTAACACCTGATAACAAAAATGAAATGCTGTTTGAAGTTACTGGTTTACAGATGTGATCTATGCAAGACTTCAAGCACAATAATGTTTAAGTTTTCATTTAAAAACATAAGAGAATGTACCACTGAAAACCAAGCTGTTAAAACCAAGTTTAAAACTCAAGTTTCAAGTTACCGATGTACTGATGTGATCTACTTTGTTGAAAGCACTGCAACTACCACAATCAGCCTGGAAAGCTGATGATATTATAACGGAAAAACATGCTCTCCGCCCCTTTCTGGGTGTTTTTGGGCCAATACTGGGAACCCCTATGAACAGCTTTTCCAATTACAGTATGAAGTAATGCTTAAGTCACAAGGTTACCACCGGCTTCCAAGCAGGAAACCTACACAAAGGGCCCTGGAGGCAGTAGGAACACCTAAAGATTAACGCACTGCCTCACAAATGTCTTGACCGCATACGAAATAAAAATTCCGGAAATTCAGCTCGAAAACCCAACATTTTAAACTGAGAAGCAAAGCAGGGGGAAGGGGAAACATGCCCTATTATTAGTTTTTTAAAAAGCCCCCAAACCCCCAACTTCTTGGCAACTTCCCCGATATGACAGGAGTCGTTTTTGAGTACTCTGGCTTTTTGGAATCTCACGACAATACCCAAATACAAACGTTTTGGCTCCTGCGCTCTGAGATCTAAGAGCGATGAAGCTTTGCTAAGGGCTACAGGGCAGCGGTCTGCTTTTCACTCCCTCAAGTCTGCGTCCTGCAGCGGGGCTCTGGAACTCCGTCCCCGCAGTTTGTACCAGGCAGGGCGCCGCGAGTGACACCCGCAAGGCTTGCAAGGGTATCTCGAACGCAGGGGAGGGAAAGTAGCCCCCTCTAGCCACTTTCACTCTCGGCGCCAGAGGACCAGAACCGCCCCAAGCTCCGAGGCACGACCGCCCAGCCCTGCGAGGAGGGCGCGCCAGGGAAGTTGTACACTCAGGGGATGCCTCCGGGCGGGGAACGACCTCTTCCTACTCCCCGTTCACGTTCAATGAACGCACACCACTCCCCGCACGGGAGCAAACCACCGCAATTTCCCAGCGCCCGCGGGGTGCCCGCGCCCGCGCGACACTCACTCCGCAGCAGAGGCGACGTCTCCTTCTTTACGTACTTCCCCTGCACCTCGGCCGGCTTGGACACTTCGTTTTTGGTTTTCTTTCGGGACAGCATCCTCGCCCAGGCCTCGG